TTGCCGCTGTTGTTGCAACAGTTGTTGCTCTAACTGCAACAGTTGTCGGGTTTTTGGGAGTGAAAGTAGCGCCGGCGCTTCGATCCGTGTGGGCCAAGAGCCGGGCTGCAGCGAATTTCCGATGGTATCTGCAGATAGGCCGAGGGTACGAAATGTTTAATGAGAATTTTTTGGTACGGGCCGCGCTGTTGTGACTGGACCTCAGTTTCAGGTGGTCCAATACCACGTAAGGGCGTGAGATAGGCAAAAAGTAAAGCGAGTTAAGTGTGCAGCGGAAGAGACTGATGCAGCGAAAGATACCCTGTTAGGATTTGATCAGACAGCTATATCACATAATAGTAACTGCTCAACATCGATAACTATCGATTATTGCTCCAGGTCTTTGCTATGGATAACTTATGCTTACTGTAGTTGATAGCAAAAACTAGATATAGGCAGCTATCTAAGGAAGTTTGTGTAATATCGATTTACATGAGTAGCTGAAATAAATCGATAGTTTAAAGAAAATAGTATGGATATGTATATACCATTTGGTATGTGTATGATATGCTAAAAATTAAATCAAAGAATGCCGATATATCGATCAACTGAAATAAAAATTAATTTAGCTTAGGAATATGTGAAAACAAAAAACGTTTGGAAGTTGATTAATATCGATTCACGACCTGTAAATCAAGCCCGCTCTTTAGAAACGTTTACAGGGTATCAAAGAACATACACCAGGCAAAAGGTAATTAAATGCCATTAAAAGTTGAGCGCCGACAATGCGAGACAGAAGAACGAAGTCAGCAGAAGGAAGATCGACAGGCAAAGTATCTGTTTATCTGTCGAATGCAGTGAGAGTGGACTGGCACAGAGGCACAGAGAGAGGCATAACAAGTTGAAACGAAGCAGTAACACAAAAAACGAGGAGGAGCAGCGAAACACACACACACACACTCTCACACACACACTCACTCAGTTGTGGCAAGGGCGTCTACGTGTTGGCTGCGATTAACATACAAAAGGATCTCGCGCGTTTTTGGAGCCGCCTTCTGCGCGTGCTTCTTCTTGCTGGCTCATCCGCCAATCGGCATGAATCACACCAGCACCAGCAGCGCTGCCGGCACCATCAGCACCACCAACACCACCAGCACCACTGGCACCACTCAGCCAACGCGCTGCAGCCAACGCGTCGTCATTTCAACACAGCCAGCGTCGGCTTTTTCTTTTTTGTTGTCTTTCTCTCGTTATTTTTCTTGCCTTTGCCTTTCGTCTCGATTTGTGAGCGCTGCATTGTCATCTCTTCCGGCTTGGTCATAGATCTGTCTGCGGAAATTTGATGCTCGCCCGGCTGACCACAGACAACGTCAAGTGCAGCCAGGACAATAGCGCGAACAATGCCCAGCAGCTACTTAAGCAGCCTTTGGCGCCAGACGCCCCGAGAGAGCCTCGAAGCAACACCAGCAGCAGCAGCAGCAGCAGAAGCAGCAAAGCCAGAATGTCTGGCAACGCTTAAGTTGCCAGACGTCGCGATCATTAGCGACGCCAATGGACACTGGACACTGGACCCTGGACACGTAGTCAGCTTTGCAGTTGCAGCATATGTACAGGAAAAAGATGCAACAAAAGATATAAAACAAGACACGAGGCTGAAAAAGATTTACAAGACACAAAGCGAGTGCCTCACACACACACAGAGAAAGAAACTGCATGTGTGTGTAAGTAATGCACTTAAGCAGATCAATGTTACTGCGCTAGATATAGCTACAATTTAGGGAGGTTAGCTTCATAAATTCTAAATAGATAACGCTCCTAGGATTGCATAAACCTAGTTGCCAATGACAATGACAATGACAATAACAATGACAATGACAATAACAATGACAATGACAATGACAATGACAATGACAATGACAATGACAATGACAATGACAATGACAATGACAATGACAATGACAATGACAATGACAATGACAATATCTATGATTTTGATAACCATAATAGTAATGACAATATCAATTATGTTCAATTATCATTGCTAATCAACCACTCAGTCCCCTTCTTGACTTCATTACTCAACAACAACAATTTAGATACGTCAAAGATAATGGGATATAAAAAGCAACATAAATACATGAAGAGCTTGTAGGATTACATGCACAGAAAATAGTAAATATTTATTAGTTGTCCGTTTTCCAACTCTGAAATCCATTAAGAAACCGCATTTGCTGTGGCCAAAAGAGAGAAAAAGCAGCCAAGACAAAAAGTAGTCGACGGCTCAGTTCAAGGCAAAGGCAAGGCAAAGGCACAGGCGGCTCCACCTACCCAGGGCCAAGTTGGCCAGCGTCGTTTTGGCTGGCTTGCAGCACCTGCTGGCCAACAACAACAATAATAACAACAACAACAACGACGACGATGGCAAACGAGGTCTGCTGCAACCTTTTGTGGCAGTCACTTTGGCTGCCTCGAGTCGCGGGTGTGTCAAGTCATCTCCACAAACAACGGGCGAAAGGCAAAGCCGGAGGCAGAGGCAGAGGCAGAGGCAGTGGCCGAGGCGGAGGCAGAGGCAGAAGGGAAGGGCAAAAGGCAGTTGAAATGCATTTAACTGTTTGCATTTGTATTGGTAGCTAGCTCCATTCAGCCGTGTGAGTGGGAGCGAGATGGCCAGTGTCATTCCATTTCGGCCCTGCTGCTTTTACCTCTTGCCAACCAATAAAATTATACTAATTCTTGACTTTTTGATTTCATTTTGTGTTTGTTGTTAAGGATTTCGTTACCTAAACACACACACGCACACACACTCAAGTGCTTCTCTCTGCATGTGTGTGTGTGTGTGTGCGTGTGTGTGTGCACTAAAAAGTGTTCATTGCCTCTCGCTCGCACCTGGTGCCGTGTCGTATCGGCAACGATCACGATCTGGCATGGGCCCTCCCTGGCTGGCCCTGGCCCCAGGAATTCTGTGCGCCTCGCATTGCGAGACAGTTTGGTTTTATACTCGGCTCATTGCGCGCGTGCAACTCCCCGAGCGAAGAGTATTTCCAATTTCATTTCACTTCGATTAATTTTTTTGTTCTTTCGCTTTATTACCTTGTTCGATGTTCACCTGTGCAACACGGCATTGGCTTGCGATACGCTTTGTTTATTGTTAAAGCTTCAAATTTACCGGCAAAGTAAGTAGAGAATAAAACAAACGCTTCAAAGTAAAATAGAAATAAATCATAAAATAAATATAAGCTTGAATAATTCAGAGGCAAATAAAAAGTTAAAAAATATAACTAGCAAAATAGAAAATAAAATAGAAATTAATAAATAAATAGAAGCAAAGAGACAAAAAAATAAATAAATCATAAAATAAATAATAATTTTAGCTATTTTTCAAATTATTTTTAAATGTGAAAAATTAAAGAAAATAATTTTATAAGATACATTAAACGTAGATAAATGAAAAATAGATATCAACTTTATGCATCTACATATGTCATATATATTGAATCTATAATGTTTAGATACAATATAATTGAAATTATCTTGCTTTCATTCTTAATCCACAAATTTCCTTAAAATTAAATTGCCAGAACTCAAGTCAAAACTTGAAGTGCATAGAGATATCAATCAAAATGTGTTGCATATTCCATTCGATGGAGTTGTCAGTTGCCCCACTGAGCACATACAAAAATATCTTGTGGTTGCTTCCATATATACTTATAAATAATTATATTTATATATATTTGATTTTACTATTTTGAAATTT